ACAACACTGACATAGGACAATATCCACATGAACACGTACCTCATTGTTCGAGAGCTGATACCATGGCTGTTTGCCATAGGTAAAGATTTCCCAGAGAACAACACCAAGGCTCCAGACATCACTTTCTGTGGTGAATTTTCTATACATAATACTTTCAGGTGGCATCCAACGAATAGGTAACATCGTATGCCCACCAACCTGGATGGAAAAATAAAGAAGTTTAAGGTCTTGGGGGTAGAGAAAGTGACATGACATTTTATTATTTGGATTTGACTTATTATTTACAATTATTCAACTAGAGTTATCAAGCATTTTCTTTCAGTTGTGTGTATATTTAGAGAATTTTACTACATGTACTAATACTGATCTCCTTGTGGAAAATACCACTGTGGAAATTTAAAGGAACCAAAAAGTATTTTCTCAATGACAAGTTACTGCTGATTTCACCAAATCTAAAAAAGTCAGCTACCTTTCTTGTTTTATGTTCTCCAGGGTATATGAGGTACAGGGAAAATTGATATTTTTCAGTTAATCTTCCTGACCAGAATACATGGAACATGATAATCAACTAGAAGTGGGCATTGAATTTGGCTAAATGTCAGATCTTGGCACAAAACTGGGTAATTAGGAACAGTTTTTCCTTTTCCTAGGGCAGAGTAAATGAACTTCCTGTCACAATTCTGGACTGCAGTAAAGCTCTCATCTTGATCTCCAAAGACCAATTTTGAAACAGCTACAGCAGTACACATATATATACACAGTGGTGGACAATGAAGCTGTTTTTCCAAACCTCAGTCTGAATCTTGATACTACTGAGTTAGCTCTGACCACTTCTGGAATGACCTGGATGGAACTGGGTAATTTCTAAAATGCCAAACCAGACCCACAAATGGATTCATTGATGGTGCAACAGTGGACATCTTAGGCAAATAAATAGACAAACACACATTTTATTTATGGCTTGCTTTCTCACATTTGGTTTGCTGGATTATAGAAATTACATAACCCTATAGTCAAAGAGAGCTAGGTTGGTGTAGTGGTTAAGGCATCAGGCTAGAAACTGAGAGACTGTGAGTTCTAGTCCTGCCTTAGGCACAAAGCCAGCTGGGTGACATTGGGTGGGTCACTCTCCCTCAGCCCTAGGAAACAAGCAGTAGCAAACCACTTCCAAAAAAACCTTGCCAAGAAAACTGCAGGGACTTGTCCAGGCAGTCACCAGGAGTCAAGATTGACTTGAAGATACACACACACACACACACACACACACACACACACAGAAGTCAAAGGACTGACAAGCTTTTCAAGAAGACGCTAGAAAGAAATTTGTTGGTGATCCTATAATTTTGGATTTTCTCAGCTAAGCAGAATTGCATTAGAGTTCAAGATTCTGCCCTAATCTATGATTCTATGGTCCAGATCAAAAGATTGGAATTCTCTCTCTCTTTATCACATACTTACACACATATACCCTGCACAAAGCTAAATTATCGAGTCACAGTGCTCAGCATACAACATCCCAAAAATGGACTTCTACCATTTGCTCTGTCAGGGCTTAGCCTTTACTTTGCACATCTGGGATCTATGTGTGAAGCACTCCTTGTGTTCTCTGTTACTCTTGAGATTTGTTTTGCTTCTAGAGCACATTACGAGCTGCTTATCATGGGCTGTCAGAGCCAGGATGTGTAAAAAAACCTCTTAACTGAATCAATATGATCTATGGCTACATATGAAAAGGAGAGTGTTAATAATGTATTGTCAGCATACATACCAGACATAAACACAGATTACATTTCTGACCTTTGCTCTAAGAAGAGCTGGGATGGCAAACAGCTTTTTCATTTTCTTGGTGGCTGCATTAACTTTATTAGAAAGTTTTTTTAAAAAAAGTAAAGTCACAGAAATATGTGGCTACACACAAGGAGCAAAGGGCAAGTGTCATTAGAACATTATTAGTTGTTAGAGGCTTGGGGTTCATTAAATATTCAGTGGCTTTTAAGCCTGTTCATCATATTGCATCTATAGCTGCTTTGATTCAATGGATTTTATGGCATACTCTTTAAAAAATTAATGAAAATGGCCACTGTAAAACATGTTTTTTTTTCTTTTATTGGGATTTCTCTAGGATTTATGTTTTTCCACTGCCATAAGAAATGTAAAAGCCTACAAGACACTATAGTCATATTCCTTCTCTTTATTAGCCTGTTATGTTAGATACTGCAGCACAATAACAGAAGTGTAAGAACATCACTTGACAGTTAAGATTATACACACATAACATGGGGTGGGGTGGGGAGAAAGAAAACCACTATATTAAAAATGCTTAATGTTTAGTTAACTAACTTAGCCAACTTAGTATCAGAATTGTTTTTATTTCTGCATGCATGATTTTGGTGAAGTGATTTGCTGGAGATGAAGCTTCTAGCTTTATGGCAAAACAAAAATTAAATCTTTTAATTTTAAACTAAATCCCCCAGGTCTAAAACCTAATTACAAAATGTAACCCTTGTCCAATTCTTATGTTTTCATCTAACTGGCTTTGATTTCATCTCTGGATGTTGTGACACAAAGATCGAGGCTAACTGTATACAAAGTATGGATTCGTGTAGACCAGTGTTGTCCAAACTAAAACACAACACCCCTGCTCCTT